AAAAAAGAAATGGAATTTTGTCTTTACAGTAGCTGCAAGAAAACAGAAAAAATTAACTAATGCTGACTTGGCGCACTAAGTTACTAAGGAGAGACTGACACATGGCGAAATCTTTCTGACAGGAAAATGTAAGGTCCCAAGTAGATCTCTTGAGAAAATGTCCAAACAACTCATTTCCACATGACACGTGTCACTGCCACCTTCATCTTGGCCCCACTCCCAACCCTCACAACGGAAAAGATAAATCCACTTACAGTAGTTCAAAAATTTTTAAAAGATGAATCCAAGACTTCTGAACTCAAGGAGCTTGAAATTAGACGGTTCTTTTTGGATTAGTCATGGTGAATCTCTACTGCCTATTTTTCAAAAAAAAAAAGAAGAAAGTCATGGTGAATCTTTTCAACTAATAACCACTATTAAAAAAATTATCTTTTTATGACATTTATTACTACCACGACTCGTATTAAAATTACATTAAAATAATATTCATGATATTTTTTATCATAATAATTGTGTCGAGCAAACACGTTGCAATTGAGGAAATTTTTTGTAGTAAGTTAATTCTGAAACATGTTGCAATATGAACATGTTTGAATCTGTAATTATTGATAATTAAATACAAAAAACTTTAAAAAAAATCAATGAAAAATATAGACAGGATCCAGGGGCGGAGACAGAAATTTTTTTCAAAAAAAGCAAAATACTAAAATTTTCAAAATTCAAAAGAGGTTAAATAATTTTTCATATACTAATTTACAAAAATTTCAAATTTCAAGGGGTGAGCGCCCTCTCGCACCTCCTGGCTCCGCCACTGGTGGGATCAGTAGTCCTAGTTTTTAGTAGTAGTACTGGCTGGTTTTGTAGGTGGGATCAGTTAATGGAGTGAATGAAAACGATTATAGAGAGAGTGGTTTTAACTTGTAAATTAACTGCCATATATTCATATACCTTCAATTCCAAGCCATCTAACCCGTGCCTCCCCCTTGTTTTTCGGGTGGTTTAAAGTTGCTTTTCGACACGTTTTTAATTATATAAATGCTATTATTGCTTATTATTATCACTAACCTTTCTTTTGAACATATTTTACTTTCTCTTAATTACATTATTTACTTCACATGGAAAACTCAAAACGTCATGTACAAACCATATATGACCTTATGGACACATATGACTTCACTCAACAGTTAAGATTTTGATTTTTTTACTCTTAAATTCAAGTTTTTAAGATAGATAACCTCCTATGAATAAATTTATGTTACTTAATTTAAACACATATAATTGAAAGGAAAAAATACTTATCAATCTTATATCTTAAAAATTAAGAGGTAAATCATCATAAAATTACGTTGTTTCAATAAATTTATATTAAAAAAGACTAAACTATCATATTTTTAAAACATGCATTAAAATAATTTTTATCTTTTTTTTAAAATTTTTTTAAAATAAGACGGATAAACACTAACCCCTAATTAAAATTAGTAAAAAATAAATAAATTGCAAAAGAGCTTTCACGTGGTTCTTTTGGTTCCTCGGGTACCATTTAACAAGTTAAATTGTAATAAATTTTGTTTGATTAAAATTTATTTACTTAATTTTGCTTTTAATTACCTGTGAAATAACAGAGATCGATGATCTCATCAGGGTCGATAGTCGTCACATGTTTTTGTCTACGCCCAAACTACAAAAGTTATTATATTACGTGCTTTTACTAAGCCCAAATAAGTCAGTTTTATTTTGGGCCGCGAGACCAAATAGGAATTTAAATCTTGGGTTGTTGTTGTTTTATGAGTTAGTAGAAATTGGGCCTTAGAAATATTAGATTACGAAGAACATCGGCCCTAGGCCTCCTACGGATAAACCCATAACGAAGGACACTTTTTTTTTCCTTTTTTTTTTTTTTAAATACCATCAAACTTCAATACACTATAATAGTAAAGTTATAATCACACTCTAAATAATAAATATTATGTTTTTATAACATAATTGTTTATTATATTTTTATATTATATATTTTTTAAAAAAATTTAACACTTTTTATTTCTTAATAAATTAAGATGTATAATAGTTAACTAATTTTTTTTTTTTTTTAAAAAAACGACATTGGCAATTAAGGATTTCACAAATAACATCACTCCATTATAATCTGCTTGGAAAGAAAGCATATATATAGAAGGTAATACACTAATTTCATTGGTCCTTTTAATGACCAAACTTAGAAGATACATGACACATCAAGGACTCCATATATATATATATATATATTAAGTTGATTTCTGCTCCATTATTAAACAGCAGATAGAGATGTAATATTCACTATTTTCTTTGATTAGCCATCAAAAGTTGACGACTGATCTGTAGGTTTTGCCCGGCTGCCATCCAGCCGGAATCACTTCGTTGGCTATGATGTTCTTGCTGGACTCGAGCGAGGTCAGTTTGATGGAGAACGGGGCTTGCAGAGTCGACCCGGAGTCCAGTTTCCATACTGCACCCCAGGATTGCTGCATGGGTTGCCAGGAGTCAGTGTCGAGAGCCTGCTTCAGTTCAACCGAACCGAGTTCACCATCTCCGTCCTCATACTCGACTAGGGTTGCGAAGTAGTTTGAGGTGGAGCCAGAATCGACACTGAAAGTCACCGTCTTTCCGGGATAGTTGCATTCAACTCTGCAAAATAATTAATATAAAAATATCAATATGCATATATGAAAAGCATAAAAAGTAATCTACGGAGTATGCAATTGAGTTCCTCCTCCCTTTTTTGTGGAAAATATATATTAATTATTACTTTCTGTACTGAATCTGAAAAGTTCCGGCGTTTCGGAGTTGATCAGCCTGGCCGGAATTCGCCATAGCTCCGAAAGCAGTGCCACTTAAATCGAAGTGAACGGATTCAGAGACGCAACCAGGGCACTCGTCGGTAATTACTACTGTCACAGGATTTCCCGAGCATGCAGCATTGGTAGTACTAGTACATTTCACCTGCAAACGTATGGTAGTCCAAGTCAAATTCAGTTATATAGGGATGGATTAATCTGGAATTTCAATTCAAGAGGTAGAGTCAAAAATTTTCGTTGGGGTAATACCCCGGGCCCTCTCCCCTGTCTCATCTCCGCATGTGAATTGGAAAAAATTGAAAAGTAAATTGACGACATATTGCTAATTTGTACGTTACCTGATAACAAGCTCCACATCCTTTACCGGATTTGTAAAGAGAAGGACCTCCGGCCGAAACCATTGCGGAGAATGGAGCTTGCTCTACAGCACTTCCATACCCACAAGCTCCACCTACGTGTAAAAGAAAAAAATGCTTATAGCATGCATGTTTATCATAGATTAATTGAACAAATGTGCATTGTTGTGTGATCATTACCATCACTACCAGCACCATTGGCACTGCCATACCACGTTGCTCCAGCAGGAGACCAATTAGACTCATCGAGGAGCTTACGGTAGAAGCAGTGACTAGGGTTAATTAACAAAGAGAGGGTAACTAAAAGAGAAAGGAGAGGGAATGGAGATTGAAGGAGAGCCATATATACTTGGATCAAACTATATATGCTCGATTGTGAAAATAGATCATCAGCTAAACGTAGTTTGAGTTGGTGGTGAGGTTAATGGATCGGTGAGATGGTATTTATAGAGGGGGAAGGGCGCGCTTATACCATACAAGGTTTCTATTTCATCCAACTAGTATATGCCATGTGTCATTAAGCCATGGTTTGAGTAATATTTTCTTCAAGAACAAGCCATCTCAAATATAAAATTGATGGGTTGTTCTGTAGGACAAACTTTTTGTCCTATCTTTCTATATAATTTTCACATATCATTAAATGAGTAGATGCATTCAATATCACGAGTTTTATATAAATTAAAAGAATCAATTATTTTAATGACACTTTATGTTGTACAAAAAGATTATATAAAAATTATTTCCCAAAATTGATTTACTAACAATGTTTATTTTTTTGACAACCTTTACTCCCCGATTGTCAGGTAACAAGCTACAATTTTAAAGATATTTGAAAAAGCTATATAGGCATACAAACATTTTCTATACAATATGATGCACAATGTGAGAAGGCAATTGACTTGGTATTATAAGATTGTTTTTTTTTTTTTTGTTTTTATTTGGAACAAGTACATATGATATTGTATATATTTATTTTTTTGATATCATATATATTATGTGTCTAATAATTATGATTAAAATACTGAATAATTTAAGACATAAAATCTTTAATTAGCAGACAAATTTCCCGCAAGATAGATTTTCTTGACATCAGAAAGGCCTAGAAACAACTTTGCACCCCTTTTTTTTTTGTCTGGTTGTTTTTTTTGTTTTTTTGTTTGTTTTAATTGGCAACAATGGTGGACTTCTTGATCTCGCTAAGATTATCCAGCAAAAATAAAATAAACAGTATAACTAATGCCCAAAATGATATGTTTGAAATTCAGTTCTTATTTAAGAGATTTTTAAGCGTTAACAAATTAAATTTCTTTTACATATAAAACGAAGAGCCACAAACACACGGATGATGCCCATTTCCCATGTTATATTGTTATGAGAATCCAATTTTGTAACGCATTACTTTCTGTTCAATATACGGCAATACCATACTTCCCAATCTTTTACGCATTGTAACAAGAATGGCTATGTGAGGTGCATCACATTTTCAGAGAAAAAAATTACTGTACATATTATATGGCTTTAAGATTTCATCATTTAAAAAGGGGTTTTTATGTGTTTGAGGAGCCATCTGATGTTGTATATAATTAAGTGCTCGTTTGGTGTGGTTTGAACTTTTAATAGAAGTTCTATTGGAAAAAAAATTGTTATATAAACGTTGTTTTTGTAAATAGAAATAAAAATAAAGATAAAATATTAATAATGTATTAATTTCATTAAAACCCAGATGAAAAACTCTTGTAGAAGCACCGATTTCTGAGATTTGTAATGAAATTAACAAAAAACTAACTTGTGAAAAGTTTTAGCATTTTTCACAAATTGTAGTATTTAGTGTAGTTAGAGTTTTTGGAGTTTAAAAAGATTTTTCACAAATTATACTAAACATAATCTAAGTTTCTTAAAAATAATTTGCTAGAAGTGTGTAAACGTAAATTAATAAATGTTTAAGCATTGCTATATATGTATATAAGATAAATGAATGGATCACATCTCCAAACAGTATCATTTGTGACCGACGAGGGATTGAATTAAGTGGTAAGCGGCTTATTCCAGCTTAAGTAAGGTCTCGAGTTCGAGACCTTGTGTACGCAGCAGCCCCTGTTGGGAAACTCACCCACCATTTCCAGGTGCGCGACGCGGGTCGGGTCCGGATTAGTCGGGACAAAGCCCCGGATACCGGGTGGGAAACCAAAAAAAAAAAAAACCAATACCATTTGTGAGTTAAAACACTACTAGTAAGGTGCATAAAAGTATAAATAAGTTATTTGTTAATATACAATTAAACAAAAAATTTAAAAATTACAAAATCATTTCCCTATTTTGAGTTAGATTTCCCTAAAAGTGGGACAAACTTTGAAATTTGGTTGAAATATCCTTTTTCTACAATATCACATGACAAGATATATAATAAATGGTAGCCTTCTTATCTTATTCTCCCTCAAAATTTCAACATAAAATTACAACACATTGTGACGTGATATAAAGTTTTTGAATAAACATAAAGTTTGAAATAAGGGCATATAGAGCAATTATTTCTAGGACGTGGATCCACCAAGGCGGTTAAAAGTGAACCCACATCAACCATAATTGTCCTTTTTTATTGAAAATTTGAGACATAATTTCGTATAATTGGTGTTTCTTTCCATTGTACAGAGACCCACAATTCAAGGGACATACGATACAAGATTTGCGGCTTGTTCGAAAGCGAAAAAAATACTATGTTCGTTAATGTTGGCGTTGATGGAGGTTAATGACCGTTGAACACCGTCATCGGACGATCCAAATCAAACATAACATGCTCGTGATATTTGACGGGGATTTGGCACTGTGTTATTCTGGAACGCAATTTACGGGGTGATTGTGATTTAAACGCCTGTTTTTACTTGAAAACCAAGGTTGATTATCAATTAATAATTCTGTTTAGGGGTTTAATTAAGAATGGGAGAGCAGGCAGCTCACATGGTCATCACCATCAAAATGGAGGAATTAGTGCTCAATTTAATTACATCAGCAAGGCGGCTGATGTATGATGAGGGTTCATGTGGCTATCGTTTTCGTGAAAGGAACTGCTCCTGTAGGACAAGCTCAAGGTTTTGTGATGAACTGATGATGAAATGCCAATGTAATTACTACTCCCCTCTCTACTCTCTCCTTCAAAATGTTTTTTTTTCTTTTAATTTATTTTTTTATTAATCTTCCGATATCTAATAATTACATTAATGACTAATTCAGAATTAAGTTACGTTGGACCTTATTGGAACAAAACTCTTTCAGTACTTATTTTTCTATTTATAAGACTCGGATTCAATATTTTATTTAAAAGAAATCGAGTTGTTTCCACTTGAACAACAAGTTATTGATTCTTTTAATTTATTTTAGTTTTTGATACAATTATAGTGAGTTATTTTCTCAATGAAAGATAATATTTTTTTTATTTTTTATCTTATTTCAATTAAATATTATACGATTTAAAATTAAAATCTCTTAATTTTAATAAAAAAAATTTATTATTAAATTATTTAAGTTATGCACGTTTAAATGAGAAAGTTAGTATTCTGGGTCACTGCAGATTCCTTTCACAGCGGCACATTTTGTTAAACCATTTAACTAAGAAAATAAAAAACAAAAATTGAAATTAAAAAAAATTTTAAAAATGAAAAAAAAAAAAAAAGAAGAAAAATAAAGACTTCAACAGTCCGAGAAAGTGCGTCCGTAGTTGATACTGGGTGATAGGCACCGCTGCACTATCATTATTTTTCATCAAGGTTTAATGGCCCTCGACTCCACGTACCGAGTAACAATACTTGGGCCTATATATAAATATAAATAGATCATAGATCTCAGGCTGCAAAATCAGGCCCAGTGTTTTTAAGTCCCATCTTTTATGAACCCATTGATTACTCCAAATCTCCCAATAGAAAGCCGACTACAGCGGAAGACAATAATAGATTTCTCATTGTCCCATGCCCCAGTGAAAATGAAAAAATTTCTTTCATAAAAAAATGGGAAAAGTCACCTGAGCCTTGCGACTCAACAGTTATAGGTCGACTTGTAAGATGTATTCGCCCAGTCTGAGAGTTGAGAGTTGAGATTCGATTCCCCCCTCCCCTATATTTGTACCCTTGTTAAAAAAAAAAAAAGAAGAAAAAAGTCAAGCGTTTCCGTGGTGGCAGTGGCATGATATCTGACCAGGAGAGCTTCAAGAATGAAAACAAATTGGCAACTCGTTTGAATTTTCGAATAGTTTATTTTAGATTAAGTTCCATAATAAGAAATTTTTTATTTTATTTTATTTATATGTCACATAATTTAAAATTAAAAATTTTTTTATTAAAAAAATTTATCACTAAATTTAAGTTATTTTTTAAATTATTTTTTATTTTTTATTTTTATTTACCTTTCCTGTAATGTAGCTCTTAAATACACCATATACCCCATGAGTAAATGAGAACAATGTTTTTAAAATTTTAATTAAAAAATATAAAAATAAATATATATAATAATAATTTATACTTTAACATGGGATAATAATCCGTACTCAGAGGAGAGAAGACTGGAAAATAGTCAGTAGGGAGGTGGCTGTGTTAGTGGAGATTAATTTCTCATTATAAGCGTGGGGTTGGGAGGGGACAATATGAGTTGTTCCAAATAAAAAGAGTTGAATATTTTCCTTGGTGCATTAGAAAGAAGGTCGCGAACAATGATGATGATGATAACGCGTCGAACAACAAGACAATTTTGCACTCTCTTCCTCGTGCCCCTTCTCTGACGTTCTGACCCTGACCCTTCATCTTCTTCTTCCATTTTTTTTAAAAACAGTGTTTATAACAATTTCCTCATGTTGACTGCAAGCCCGTACATTATCATCAGAATATAACAGCAGCTGATTAATTTTGGACCAGAGGCTCTCCGTTTCAGTTTTCAGTACATATATCTGCATGATTGATTCCAGTTCTAGGGATTTTGTTAGAAAATTTGTCAGACTGTAATTAACTAACGATTTTAATTTAATAAAATAGATTCACACCGACGAAATAAATCCCATGTCAACGACTCGTATATATAATTTAATAATAATTTTTTTTTTTAACTTCAAAAGAAACAAAAATTTTGCTACAATATAAAGGTAGCTAGGAGATATTTAGTGCCTCTCCTGTCAACTTAATATTCGAATTGTTTCCCTTTTGTATTCTGTTGGTAATACATCACAATCAACTTAGGCACTTCTGCGTTGCTTTCATGTATTGATGTATTATAATCATTGTTGTCGAAATAGAACAAGGGCAAATGGTCAATAATTGTCCTGCATTAGTTGTTTGAAGAGGTGAATGGAATTTAGTGTCATAACTAAAACCTTTCAATGTCTCTGTTGTGTAGGCCTTCTCCTATGGTATGGCTGGATGGATAAAAAAAATTATTTGTTTTATTTTGCAGGCCTTCTCATATATATGGTTTGCTGGAAGGAAATTTGAACTTGAAATCAATTAATATGACTGAGGACTTCTCAACCGTAGTTAATCTCTGTATATTAAATTGAAAGTTTCTGGTTTATAGATTGACTTTTTATCCTCCAAAATCGAAATGGATTCATTAATGATATTCTTCAAATAATACTGAAAACCCATATTTGAAGCAAGTGATAGCTTGCAAATAATCGAGATTAAAAAAAAAAAAGAAAAAAGAAAAAAAAGAGAGAGAGATAGCTTTCAAATAATCTTGAGAAACAAATCCACAAAAGTCAAGATTTTATAACATTGTAGCTTCCTCTGTATTGTTAAAATTAAAAAATAAAATAAAATCTAGCTTGCCATGTTTTTTGCTTGCGGAGTTGCTAAATTCCAAGGAACAGAACTTGCTTAGTCCATCAATCTGTACACAAGAACCCAAAAATGGGAGAAGAAGATCAAAGAATCAAAGTCCGCCTCTTTGACCAATTGTGATCATCATCATCATCTACAACATAATTCGAGCAATTTGATTGTATCTTCTATCTTCATTTTGCTTTGATTTGATTTCCTCCGCACATCTTAGAGTTGTTTCAATGTGGTATCCTCCTCCAACACTCACTTCCCTCTCCAAATGACAGCAGTAGCTCTCGAAAACACTAACATTCACATGCAATTTGAAACCCATCAAGAACAAGAACTCGAGCTCCAATTTGTTCAATTCATATGTGGTTAATCCTCCTACTCTAGCGAAGTAAGAATTTCTGTAATTCCTGCTCATAAAAAACAAACCCATATCAGGAAATCGTCAATACTAAAGACCCAGAAAAGAACAATTCGAACTATGAAAGAAAACTCTATTAATACTTACATGTCTTCCACATATTTGGAAGCCACCATGATTGCTGTGATGAGAAACCTGTGTACATTCCTCGCATTGATTCGAAACACAGGATTCCCCTGGCAAAACCGATCAATGTACACATAAGCCACGACGTAAACCGACGGTCCGGCTCTGGTGTACCTGAAAATTCTCTCGAGGTAGGACTGAATGGTCATGTCCGGCGTCTTGTGGCAATCAAAGACTCTGGTTCTTGCATCTCTCGTCAATTCCAACGAGCTGCAATCCTTCACAAGTCTCTCGTTTCTGACCATGGTTCTCTCAATTAGCGAAGCAAGAACAGAAATAACAAGCGGGGTACTGGAGTCCCTCTGGTAGGAATAGGAATACACATCGGATCGGAGCTTCCTCGGAGAAATAGCAAGTGATAAAGCCGGTGGCATTTTTGAGTTTGGCTGAGAAAAATGAAGGGTTTTTTTTTTTTTTTTGTTCCCAAAGGAGAAAGGATCCAATGCTGGGTGAATTCGGAGGGGTTTAACTAGGGATTTTATAGTAAAGGGAGATTCTAGCTAGAGCAGGTAGACGTAAAGGAAGGTGAAATAAAGAAATAACATTGGGGAAGGTGGGTGGAAGCGGAGATAATATGGACGTCAAAAAGATGTAGTGTGCTTCCTCCAACGTAACCTTCGTGTAAAGCCACAGTACAGGCAAAACAGCTCATGCTCAGCTATCCAAAATTCCAAATTATATTACCCCTAGAATTTGATTTGAGTCAATGGCAATGGATGGCTGGCCGACAGTTTGTTCTCAGGGAATGGGCATAAAAAATGACTTTCTTCTAATGACTTCCATATGGACCCATTTTGCAGGCTAAGGTACTCTTTTTCTATACATTTATAACAATTGAAAATATGCTTTTTTAATTCGGATGGTACAATATAACTACAATTTAAATATGAATTTATTAAAGTATTATTATTAAATTTTTTATGTTAATTTATAGACAATATTTTAATAATTTTAAAGTTTGAACGGCCCTTTTATTAAAAAAAAATATGGTGCTCTTTTACACTATAAAAATTAGTTTACATGATAGTCTAGATCTTAACTAAAATTAAGGAAGTTTTATAATAAGTGCCAACTTCACCATACTTTTGTTGGTGCAAACTACAAAATGCAAGATTCTAAATACAATTTTTGATTCTCTATCCTTAATAACTACTATGTATCCCAAAGAATGATGAGGACAAAATTTCAATGCTCAAAGAGTGATGAGGACAAAATTGCAATGCTCACTTGAGACTAAAAAAGGCATAGGCACACTAACTTGTCTGTGCTAGAAGTATTACACATGGGGTGTCTAGGAATATCCATATGATTTATATGAGTTTGTTCTTTCCTACCCCCAAATAAGCTAACTTTGAAGCCGTGTTTATGAATGGAACATATACTCTCTTTTTTCTTTTTTTAATGAAACATGTACTTGAAACCTCCAAGATCACATGAGTTAAAAAAATATGTTGTATTTTTAAGATACCACATCAATTGTATTTTGGATCAATCTAAAGACACCACATCAATTCTTTTATTGTTGTTCTCTCCATTAAGTGACGGATGAAGTGTAAAAAAAACTAATTTAGTGTTTTTTGATTTTTTTTTTTTTTGACCAAGTAGATGGTTAGGAAGTTAGTAGAGTTAGTTTGTTAGCAGCTGAAATTTTTTCAAGAAAGTGAAACTTCCACCCCCTCATTTGAAGCGCGCGACTATTAAGTCGCAAATTGGTGGAGTTCACGGCGGTGGTAGAGCTCGAAGCCCTGTCCTCCGCCTCACCCAGGCCCTAAAACTTCGGGGCCAACCAATTGGGCCACAGCCCGATTGGCAATTTAGTGTTTTTTGATAAATCCAAAATACCACTAATATGATATTTTAAGAATACAGTAAACTTTTTTTGGATTGAGAAACATCATTAATTGATTAATATAACATTTCCTATTTAGGCTAGGGGAACTATGTTCAGAATTTACTCGTGCACCCTATCAAATCGTGGTTTTCCGCTCTGATCACCAACCTGCTATCACTTGTCCTTGTCAATTTGGTCATTGAACGGATCTTGAGTTGTTCCTTCCTCTTTTTTTTTTTTTTTTGGTACGGCTTGAGTTGTTAATTTTGTGTACATTGTGCAGGTGTATTTATTAGAGGCTGAAGAACTCCGACACCAAATTAAATGTGAAGAAATTTAGTTGAATGATTGGATCCATTTCGCAGCATTGTACCATAAATATATAGGGGAAAAAAAAAAAAAGAAAAGAGGATATGTATGTATTAAGACCACAAAGGCTCAAACTGAAGGCCTGCTCGTTTTGGGCCCGAAAGTCAGGTTGCCTTAAGGTTTACTATTTTAGGCCTTGAAATGTTTGGTCGAACTTGAGTCTCTCTCCCCTTCAAGTTTTGAACTGTACAAAAAAAAAAAAAAAAAAGGGGAGAAAGAAAAAGAAATGTAATATAGGAAAATTGGCAAGGTCAGAGATTGGGTGAGAAAAAGAAAGAGCAAGCTGATCCAAAGTGGGGATGTAGAGGTGATTTTGCAGGTTCGTAGATTTCGTTTGGATGGATTAAGGAACTACAGCCATTGAATTTTTGGAAGGATTTTCTGAGGGCGACCAACTTCAACAAATGGTCCTCAGGAATCTCACTAACAGATAAAATTACAACAAAAGTAGAATGCAGCTTGTCAAAACGTTGGCAGAGAGTATAGATTCTCCTTTCTATTTCATCTTTTTTACTTTATCCCCTTTTTTTTTTTCTTTTTCTTTTTTTTTTTTTACCTTTTTCTATGCTGAACAATACAGAGATGTTATGGGCCATCATTCAAAATTGGGCTTGCTCCAGTTAAAAAAAGCCTATTATTAATTTTATAAGTTGGGTTTTCACCGTTTATCTCACTCATCCACCTCAATTAATAATTTTTTAATATATTTATAATATATAAATATATTTTTTTTGACATGAAAAAAATATAATGTTAAGTTAGTATTTATTGGAAAAAAATTGAGTGTGAAACTCGATTTATGAACCAAAGTGCATTCCACCTCCTTCTCACTTTAGAGAAGTATGGCTGTCACTGTCGTCACATGAGGTATGCTATTTATAATATATTTGGTTTAAAGAGAATAAAAATGAGAGAAGAAATGAGAGCGTGAAGTTTTTCAATTAATTAAATTATAATATTAATTAAAATATTCTTCCTCCACTCTTTTCCTCTTTCATTTATTTTTTTCAACTCAAATATACAATTAATAATAAATTATATAATATAAAAATATTTAATATAATATAAATTATACCAAACAACATAAAACTAACCGTTTAAATATGATTGAGTTTTTTGATATTAGAAATTATCTTCGATCTTTGTTACAGTAAGGGAACTCAATACAATATTAAAACATCTTTCTATCCGATCTTTTTTCACGAAGCTATTACAAGATATAAGTTGTGATCTTTCTGGTTTTTGAAATGGCTTGAGCTAATAAATTACTATTGTTATTATTATTTTTTAATCTAAAAGTTTAAAATATTTATTCTTGTAGATCACGTGATAAACACGTGACCAATATGAATATTGAGGTTTGAATAGATTGATCATCCACAATGCCTCTAAAAGGGACTAATATATAATCTTTTTTAGGATGTAAAAGGACTAATCATTTAGATTTTTGAGAGAAAAAGTTACGATCCTGTGGTGATCTCATTGTCCAAGCGTTCCCTTCCTTCTCCAGTCAGGTATAAAACAAGCTGTCTCTTATATGCGTCTTATCATTGCCCTAATGTTCTACTTAGCATCATAATTAACTCCATCTTCTCACAGTCTTTTTTTTTCTTTTTCACTGGCAAATAAACTTACATTCTAAAAATTAATGTTAATTATGTCAAAACCTTTCGAGGGTGGGAATATATGAAATGATTTCATTTTATTAAAGAAAATGATTAACTTTTTCTATTCAAACTTGAAAAGAAAGAAAACAAATTGGTATGTCAATTTCATTTGTGTACAAGGCCAAGGATTATTATTAGTGTGGAACCCATCTCACAAACGTATGGTGATACCCTAAACTCAAGTTGACAAATCAGTATCCAATCATTTAAATGTTTATCTTTTAACAACATTACATGTTACTTGTCACCATTTAGGCTTCCATATTGACTACCATGTCTTCCCATGAAAACATCCACCTTCTATTAATGTCCGTCCTTTATTATTATTATTATTATTTATGAAAAGAAATAATTGTTTTAATAATAATACTAATTACAACACAAGTTATGTTATTGTCATATAGGTTGAATATGAAATGTTGAAAAATGCTAGAAATGACTTATGGCATCAATACAAACAGTTATTGCTCATTACCAGTAAGATAATTAGGTGTTGAGAGCTTTTAAATATCAATATACTTATAGGAGTGTCAATAGAGTTACGTAGAATATAGAGAGATTATCCTGAAGCTTTCTTTTTGCTTTTGATAACCACTTTTACTAAGATTACTCATGCTTAAAACGAGAGAGCAAAAGGCATGGTGATATAGTGTCTCTCATCACGACATGTTTTACAAAGGCTTGGATGTTGCTCCTAGCCTGCTGGTGGATGAAAAGACAACCATTTGTATTACTAGGGCAGTACTCTAGCTATCCAGCATTACCTTAATCGCCTTACTACTTGCAAGATCAACCAGGCCAGGTTTCCTCTTCCCTTTCCCCCTCTAGGCATGGTCATGTGCAGTAGATCAAGTCTGTCATGTAGAATTCCTCCTAGCTGTTTCCTAGCAAGAGTGAATAGACAACCTTTAAACCTTAGTTTTGATAGTTGATAGGATTCAATTGCTTCTCATAAAGCCTCTAGCTGCCTACATGATTTCAGGTTATGTCCAGCCTTCTCTAATTGCTTTACTATTTATACACAGCAATGTGAAAACCCCAACTCCAATCGAGTGTGCTCCATCTCTGTTGGAGATCTATTGGTTTTCAAAAGGACTATTGGGTTAAGTTTCTGAATCCAAATAGTTTCTCTTGATTTGTAATCGTTAAGGAGTCACCTAAACCCCTACAATTCCATGCCAAAATTGTTGCAAAAACCATAAGAGAAGTTGGACAAGAGAAAGAGGAAAGAAGAGGCCTTGGGAAACCAGAGGGATTCCCAATTTTTGGTTTTCCTCAAATATTAAGAGATAAATATATTTAACTAATAACTTTTTTATGAAAAATAAAATTTCATTTATATTAGATAATGCTAAGGGTTATAGATTAACTTGTATGTGGTAATATATTAGAAGTATTACACTTATTAAACACATAAAAACACATAATCAAATAATCTAATATATACATATATATTATTATCAAGAATTTGATCGAATTCATACTTACTAATATAAAAATATTAATTTGAAATTAAAGTTAAAAGTTCAAACTTTTACAATACTAAGCAGTTAACCCTTTAATATACTATATATATATATATGAACATTATAGTTACACCCAAACTTAAAATTTAATAGATAAACTACATTTTATCATAATCCATCTCAGAAGATGATAAATTAGTTCCTCTTGAGCAAACAAATCTAAGAGGATTTCGATGCATCTAATAATAATACTCTAGATTTTGGATAGAAATATTAACTAGAAACCCCACTCCTCGAACATGTTTTCTATAAGTGAAACAAGTGCTACAATTTATTTGAGCCCTTCCAAGCTCACATCCATGCTGTCTTCCTTTTTATAATGGATAAAATTTGATAAAAAAAAAAATTTATTGAGATAGTCTAGAGAGAGACCAAAAAAAAGAAAAGGAAAAGTAACAAATCTTTTTTTATCAAAAGGAGGGAGACAATCTTACCTTTATTCATCCTCTATAGCTATTGAGGGAAGAGAGACGGTAACAACTTGGGAAAAAGAAGGAATGAAAAAGAGAAGAGGGGATAAGGGCGAGAGAGAATATTTAATTGACAATTAATTAAAAAGATATAAATATATAGGATTTCAAAATTAATGGATTGACTTTCTAAATACATATAAAATTTTACACGGCACACATGATTGATTGATGAAAAGGATCCTATTCAAAGCTTCCTTAAGGGGACTTTTGGGGGGACCATATTACAAATTCAATAAAATTTGAGATGCTTAGCTTTTAGAATTAGAAGCCGGTGGTTGTTGCATTTGCTGATACATGGCCGCCATTTTGCTGTAAGCGTCCAGGGTCATTGGCTGCATCACAAGTTCGCGATTTATAAGCCAATTGCAGTTTCACGGTCTGATTTACTTACATGTGTGTTTGGTTTAGATCATACCTGTGAGTGACAAGCTAGGAAAGCGGACATAGGGTCTGGCATCACTGATACTGGGGAAGGTTGCGCTTGTAACCCGCGTTCACCGGCAGAGCTTTCCCTGGACGTCATAGGCATGAATGGATTGGGCATAACGGGAGAGATTCCGGCCATGTTTGGGCGGCCAAGGGTGTTCATGTCCATGACACCCATTCCCATTCCCATTCCCATTCCCATCCCCATGCTCATTGGGGCCATCATTGACATCTGGAGTTGCTGTTGCATTGATATTGGCAACATCATGGCAGCCGGTATGTTCATTCTACTCATCATTTGAACTTGTGCTTGCAATTGCTTCAGATAATCGATCACTTCATCTAGCATTGAAGCTTTATCAGTCTGAAATGGAACAATATGAGTCAATTGTCAATAATTTGTTTCTTTTTTTTCTAAAAAGGAGACATTGCACATCTTATGACCATTTATGAGTGGTACACCTCTTGAATGTGGGGTGGTACTTTCTCCATCAAAGGTCAATGTTTTACAAAGCCAACTGCAAAAGTGCCTTTTATTTCATTTTATTTATTTATGGTACATATAATGTGTGTTAATACAACAGGTTACGAAGTACAAACCCTCTACTTTTTCAAATTCCCCAATCCCCACTTACCTTACTGGAATTAGGAACCAGCTTCTGCAGCGTCTTCATCCTTTGGTTAATCTTATCTCTTCTTTTCTGAAAAAAAGTTAAAAAGGAAATTAAGTAGCGTAACTTTTAGCCAAGTCAATTATTTTATCATTGTCTGTTATCAATTTGGCCAAAGGAAAAGAGAAAACAGAGGTTGTACTCGTTCAGACTGGTTGTGAATTGCAGCAGCTCTGCTCCTTTTGTTCGAAACGGAACATTTCCCACTTTCCTTCTTCTTGTCCTTTTCATCTACTTCCCTCTTTAACATAAAATTTTTTTTTAAAAAAAATCAACAGAAAGAAATTAATATCTATTTTTAATTCCTTAAATCAATTAAAAAGACCAAATTACTGCATGCAACATGCTCGAATATTGTCACAAAAACATGGTCTTCCACTGAAATGTATATGAAAAAGATAGTATGTTCAAACGTACCCAACATATATAAGATTTGTAAAATTAAAAGTTGTGGATTCAAATCTATAAATTTTGTCAGATATATTGTACCCAACAAATTAATTAATGTTAATATGTAGAATTAATGAAGAGTTAGGAAAATGAGCTTATATATTTACCTGCGGTTCACTATGACAAACTGAGTCATGATCATCAGGGATAGTAGTCTTTGTACCAGACTTTCCAGAGGTGGTGTTTTCCGGAGAACCAAGGGAATATGTGGAAGTGAAACCCCTACCCAAATCCTTGTCGTGGGTGTCCAGACTCATTTGTTGGCTCCCAAACGTGGCGCTGGCACTCACGCTTTGATCCTTGCTACTCCACTCGCCAGCCACCGGTACACGCGCCTCCTTGGCACACCTCAGGACGTTGTTCTCATTTTTCTCATGGGTGGCGGCTGCTGGACTGCTGCAAGAAGCCACACGGGTGGAGCATCCCACTGCACACGTGCCGCCGAGCACGGGTACGGATTCCATCAAGTGTGTGGTCCGGTGTTTGGACCTGTTGGAGCCAGGAACCAAAGCGTCCATGGTCACGGTGGCAGAGGATGTGGAGGAAGCAGTCGTCTGGTGGTGGTCGAACCATGGATCGAGTTCGTCGTTGTTTACAGCACAATCAAAAGGAGCGGCTTTGCGGCACGGTAAGCCCGTAGCTTGGTTGACTATAGATTCCAAGGTGCCGCTACCACGCGGCTGTTTATCCCATGTGTACTTGGAAGTGGATGCGGAGCTTATGGGTTTCACCGCCACTCTCGGCGGACCCAATCCGTGCATGGCTATTTGCCCATTCTCCCATGTTAGCTCCGCCACTTCATAGGCTAGCCTGCAAAATAATTACTACCGTGTTAGTCTCGTCTCTCACTTGATTAGAGTAGCGCCGCTGGTAATTTCTTTCTTTTTTTAAAGGTGCAATTAAGTTGTGATCGGAGAAAGAGTTTATTACATGGGAACATCGGGGGTGGTGGAGTTGGAGTTGGAGTTGGAGTTGGAGTTGGAACGGAAGGAGTGACGGGCTGTGGTGGCCAGGGCCGGATTATTTTCGAGATCCCAACTGGGAACACACTGGCTCATCTTTTTCTCTCCTCTTTTTTTTTTTTTGTTGTTGTTGTGTTGGTGAAGGTGTACAAAACAGATGGAAAATGAATGCCGCCCTTTGTCATTTATTATGGAGATAAGAATCGTCAAAGGAGATGGATTCTGGACCATAAGAACTTATGAAGTAAAATTAATGATCCTTTAAAAATTAAAAAAAAAAAAGAAGGAATCAAATGATTGTGGGTTTCCTGTAATTGGCTATTGTTTTTGACTCAAGACAAGTAGACATGTCATAGAGGGAAGAGGGACCAGCGCGCTGATGATAGCAATACTAACTACAGTCCATCCAAACAAGTGGGGATTTGGGCAGGGAGAAGACTTTTTCATTGGTGTTAGGGGGGAATACACAATTCCTCATTCTTCATGGGCTGGGCTTTTTTAGTGTTTGTAGAAGCCCCATGGATCAGGTCTGGAATCTTTGCCGACTTTGTCCACTATATCTCTATTATGCTTAGGCCTTACTTTTTACCATCTTAAACCGTATAGAAATGGTCCTTATGGTATCACCAAACTTATACTCGAAATCGACTCTGTAGCCACCAAAATTAATGAGCTTAGAAAAAGGCACATCACATGACCTCTTTCTAACAATTGGATGGCATGTTGTATTAATGAGCTGAAAATGAAGGTGTTGATTTGGAGTTCTAATCATGCCACCATCCCCAACCCACTTACCCCACCAATCCAAATTCCAATCATTCATCCTCATTAAATTTTCTTTTAATTATAAGCCAATCTATTCATATTAGTCTTCTTATCTGTATAGTACTTATAATTTTGAAATTTTAATTTTAAATCAAGATTAAAGATTGCCAATAAATATCAATAAATTACAATACAATTTATCTTTACGAAAAAAAAACAGAATTTGAAAATTTACAAAACACCATATATTTAATGGAGGTGTCCCATGTTAGTTTTTAATAAATGATCTAAAAATTGTACGTAGTAATTAATTCTTCCATCCTCTTTAATGATGAAAAAGAGAAGACAACGTAAAATTGTCGGCACCTGGTTTGGTACTCAGTACCGGAAAAAAGAAGTTATCTAACCACTACAAAGCAGCTGCTGCAATTGGAAGGAGACAAATCTAAAAGCCAGCCAGAGTCCAGGGACCCAACTTCTCTTTCCTTTATTAATCATCAATATCCAAATAACCAAACAAACCCCCAAGTTTTGGTTGCAATCCAGATCCACTACCACCTAACAATAAATCAGACACAAAATCTCCCAATAGAATCACGCCACGTCATCCAAAGTCTCCCATTTTTCTTACGTGGCTACTAATATTAGCACTCCCCTAAAACAGATACAAAATAACCACTTTACACCTGAATTTTAACCTTCCTGGATGGAAAAATAAAATCATCTGAAAATGTAACAGATGGAATTGCATGTGTTCAACCCAGAGATTCATCCATTCCAATACTGAGAATGTGAGAAATACTAAAGAAAAACGAAAAATTCGAATCTTTGACGGCAAATTACAGAGAAGAGTCCACTGGAAGACAAAACAAAAAAGGAACATAAAATATCTTAAACAATGTCCAATTCACCTAATGGAAACCCTAACCCTAGCCTTAATCCTGACAAGAACCATGTCCTTAACTTCCAGTCACCGCTAACGAGGAGGATAAGGCCACTTAGCTCGCCGGATGTTTTGTACGAGGACCAAGCTCTGAAGCATGGTTTGGTCAAGATGCAGTTGCGCTGCCCTTCTCTGTCTTCTACACCGTCCCCATCATCACCTCCGTCCGACCCTGATTTGACACCCTTTTCCGCTGAGTATTCCTCACCTGATTACACTTCCCTTCTTTCCGACGAGCTTCTTCTTAGAATCTTCGCTAAGCTTCCTGTCTCTCACCGTGTCTCTACTTCGTTGGTGTGCAAGAGGTGATTGCGGCTTTATGGCCACTTGGTGCAATCCCTCAATCTCACGGATTCTGTCATATCATCCCCTTTTGAGCAGTCCATTTTGATGCAATTTTATAATGTAATGAGTAAAAGCTGCATCATTTACACCAGGAAGTTTACATATCTGGTACCATTCTGCAAAAAGCATAGAGACCTGCAGTTTTTTTTCATGGAAAATACAGAATTTAAACCGTGGATAATACCTCCGAATTTTGCAAATTAGAAAAAGGTGAAAGTATTTACTGCACTATGGATAGATAGAAAGGTTAACAGAAGTTTAAAGTCTTGTCAATATTATTTTTATATAACTGGATTCTCAATGGGTACACTTGAAAAACCAGACAACTCGAGACCATTTTAGAAATTTATGTCTACACCATAGCCCCTGGTAAGCAACTAGTCCATAAGGGCAAAGGTAGAATTCTTAGAAATGCCTCGGATTGAAGTTCTTTCTTTTCCTCTTGTAATTGTTCATGTTCTCTGAGCTTGGTAGTGGCACAGGCAGTTCAATAGTTATATCATTGACCACTCATTCATCAATTACAGTGATTTCTACCAATTTTGTCAAATGCCACACAACCAATGTTACATTCAAATGAAAGAACGAACCAATTAATACATTAAATAAAGAGAGCAGAATCAAATTTAACATTACTTGCTCCCTGAAACCAGCAGGATCTGGTTCCTGGGTCTCCACATTGCTATTCTCTTCTTTGTTTGCCATCAAGTGATCAGGAGCCTATCCCAACAATAGATTAATAATAGAAGAAAGATAATTTTACCTAGGACTAAACCTAAATACACCATGGATAATAAACTTACCTTTTTGTCCTCGGGTTGCCCGGCCTTATCCTACTTTCCAAGAGTTACACCAGAAAAAAATAGCCACATTAGCAGAAGGATTTCGGATCATATCAACCAACTGTTGTGATGATTCAGAGGACCCAGGTTTGGCAGCAAGCTGGAAGTTAAAAAGAGTCAGAATCAGCACAATCTTCTCACTATAGATAGATACACACAGACTAGAGAGAGGGAGAAACAGTAATTAGAACCTTCGCCAGTGCATCAACAAGATTATGGAATTCTGAGACGACTCTGCTTTCATCAGTGACCAAAATTTGGAGCAAAGATATGGCAAACTCAGTTGCAGCTCCTGCATATTTAAAAACTCAGTTAGCTGACTTCTAAAATTAACAATGTGAGAGATAGTCCTTATACATACTATTTCTCCGCCATCTATAAGCTTTGCAATGTGAACATTGTACTCCGCAAGGTTTAACAATACACTTGGAATAAGGCCAACAGTGATATCCTTGTTGAACTTGCGCTCTTCATCTGAGTAGATCACCTGTATGATAGTGGTTTCAAAAAATCATGACAGATTGAAGCATACATGCCAACAAGAGACCATCTCAGACACTTTGCCACAGATGCAAAGCTATCCAAGATGGATAATAGTACGTTGTCATTAACAATTGAAGAATTTGACTGATTGAACCAAATACTTCCTGGGAATGCAAAGAATAATAAAAAAGAAATAATACTTGGTGTTTCAACTTTTAATGTAGTCTGTACTCTCATATGAACGTCAGAGGATGTTTTGCACATAGGCTGGAAAGATATGAATGAAGGACCAATGACTATAGAAAGATAATGATACACTACTCAACAAAAGAGCAAGTGCGTGAACATTAATATATGCGCACACAGACCTGAATACAGGTACCATCTGTCCATAAAAAACACTCACAAAGCAGAAATATTCTATAGATCAAAGCAACAAAGACTAACCTTATCAGTAGCAGCCTGTTCAATGACTGCACAGCCAAGATCAAGGTTATCATTAGTAACAAGTTGCAAAGCTTGTTCTAGCAGGTCACTTGCAACATTCAAACCCTGAAGTGTACTTCACAATTGACTTGATATAGAACCACGCAAGGGTTCCTGGGTAACCATAAAAGCAATCAAATACCAGATAACAAAAGTTCATAAGGATACAATCTAGAACATAAAATACATTTGAAAGAGCTACCCAAACAAGTGATATTATGTAGCTGTTCAAAAAAAAAAAAAAAGGTGATATTATGTGTAGTTTGAAAAGACTTAGAACCTTGCATGTCACATGAGCAAGACTTCCAGCCAAACCTGCAACCATCAAGTGTGCTGCATTATATATCCATGTCTCATCTGACTCCATTGCATGGTCCTACATTTAAGATTTTAAAGAATGATCAAAAAACAAAAAAAGTGATTAAAAAATTCTGTTAAAAGGGTGGTCATTTATCATTCTGAGATATGTCTCATGGTATATCTTTTTCCAATATGAATGTGCTGGAGATAATTTTGCAATTTATTGGAGAGAGGCTTGAAAAAGCAGTAGGCTAAATACATGGAAAATCTTCCTTGAAATGCAAAACTTGAAATCAAGATAGGAGAAAATCAAACTAAAAGTTTGAGAAGGGTAATATCAGATAAGGAAAAGCTCTAAAATGACATGAATTTTATTTTCATGAATGAGTTGAATTAAGTTCAAAGTGCAAAAAAAAAAACAAAATAAAACAAAGACAAGCTGCCTTGGCAAACCTTTAAGACAAGATCCTTTGTTGTTTGAGTTGCTATGGAAATGCTGCGTTGAACAATACCAGACACAATCTCTTTGATAACTCTGTCCATAGCAATTGGAACCACTCTGTAACGTGTCAACAGAGAGTTAACCACCTAAATACCAATCATTGTAAGTAGGAAACGATTAATATGGGAATAGCACCAAACCTTTGAAAATACAAGTGCAAGCCCCAAGGCACTTAGCTTCTTGTTGATGATGACATGAGTTCCAATGTTGGGTATTGGTGTTGAAAGCTGCATAGAACAAGGGATCCAACCATTTAATAAACAAGGAAATTAATAATTCTCAGAACTCTGCAGAATGAGAAAAACATTAACTCACCTAATTGGCAGAAAAAGGTGATTGGGATGGAATAGCTCGAAACAGCCCTTGGGCAGAAGGAAGCTGATCAGACAAGCCTAATGCTGCTAGTTTTTCATCTTCCATTGATGTGCCAGAAGAAAGATGCAGTGGAGGATATTTGAACAATAACAAGATAAGAAAATAAGTAATGTAATCAACAAGTGACATGAATGGAAAAATATCAGAACAAGACACACCTGAGACAATAAATTAGTGTGGCCAACAGAATTAGGTGGATTGGCAATCTCAAGAGGTAGCTCAACATGATTTAATGGAGAGATAATTCCTGATTTAACTTAAGCAACCATCCGAGGCTGAGAGACTCCAAAATCTTTATTAGAATTTAGAAAAATCAGGATTCCCTTCAATTTCTCTTTTATGATCCTTAAGAAGGGATGTTGGTGTTATGTACTTCATATCCACACCAGGGTTTTTATACAGAACCTAAAACACCAAAAAGATCGCATGACATATGCCTTAATAGAACACCAACCTCATATGGGCAAGATCTGATTATAAAAGAAATATGTCCCCATATGTTTCTAAAACGTAGGCATTTACCTTTATGTCAAATCTGAGATTCATTTTCAAGTTTGGCATGGAATAGATCTCAGCCAATAATACTAGAATGCCCATAGTCCAGGGATTAGGAGGTTAATAGACAAGACTACTTTGACATGATTCAAGAATCTGTAATGAACAGCAGAATGTAACTATCATATAACTTCAGAGAAGGAAACGACTAGTAATCATAAGAACCATACCTTACAAGTAAATGGGATCACAGCAATCATCCAACCATTCTCATATGCCTACCAAGGAAAAAAATGAAACAAATGAGAAACAACTAAAACCAGAGTGTTTGACCACGAAATGAATGATATAATCCGAATAGGAAATCATTCATATGAGGATCAATACATATTTAGCTACAAGGAAAAATAAAGCATGAGAAGAAGTACCTTCTTGATCAAAGACTTTGGGTCTATTTCACGAGCCCTCAAAACTTGATTCCTACTAATAGTTAACTTCCCAAGCCAGCTACCTAAATTCTTTAACAAGGACCACTCCTCTGAGCTTGATTTTATAAGCCCTGATCCTAGAAGAACCTAAAAAAGGTACATGTATATTCTTTAGATTGCTTCTTACCTTGTTTAGGATTATTGCATAGCAATCTAAGTCATACGACATAAACCTTGTAGTTCTCGTATGTAGCTTGGACAATCTCGTTATTCACAGCCTTTGAATTAACTTTGTCCAGGAACTTTAGGTAAAAATCATAAAAATTTTGCTCAATGCTTGCTCTGTGAGAAAGTTGGCAAAACATGAAGTTCAAAACTACTATATGAAGATGAGAACAGAACAAAACTTGCAATAATAAAAACCAGGTAGTATATATTGCTCTTTCAATATTTCAGTGAATTCTTTTGCTTTAGCTTCATTATTTGCAGCAGAAATTTTATTGATTATAAATGATATCTTGTCTTGTACCCCTGAAGCTGGAGCCCGTTAACTTAATGTAAATGTGTCCAAGGCTCAAACACACAGCTTATGTAAACAAACAACAAGCACGATAACAATAGCCCAAACTCGATGACATTTTAAATTATGTCAATTGCAACATCTGCGAAGTGTATCACTCAATTGTTTACCAATGATAGGCCTCGGATACCTAAATATTTTCTTAAAAATTTTTGTATATTTCTCCACATTTGCTCTTCTTCTAGAGAAGTTGTAGATTTATTTGATATTCTTTTCATCAAGAAAGGTGTGAAGTAGACCAAAAATACTTGGAGAATAAATAATGTGCAACCTTCAAAGACTTCAATGTTTCTACCTCTTCGAATGTATTCCATGCTAATAGGTATGGAGAATAAGCAGTAGGTTATTGTTTTCCATTAGTACTTTACCAACTTAATCTAAACTATATGTTCCACCTATGATTAAATAGCTAACAATTATAATGATATTACTAACTAAAAAATGTCCTATACTGTCCCCAGTGGAAGTACAAAATTAGAGCTATGAGATGCATGTTGGAGAAAGCAGTGGCTGCTGCATTGGTTTTCCAATGAGTTGATTTCCCAAAATCATAGACATTTTGAAATAGAAATCTCTTGAATGGAAAAGAAAAATATATGCATGGCATATATTGCCAAAAAAATTTAACCCAATGTCAATGATAACAAAGTTTAATTTAACATCCCTATTGGAGTCTCAGTCCTGTATTTGCCTGAATAACTTCCCTTGCTCATAATAAGTAATTAACATTTCAACAACTTTTAAGGTGAAGCCCAGATGTTGCATCACCTGCTCATGCATTATTCTCGCCACTCTGGGCAGGTTGAGGAGAAAAAGAGAAATAAGTACATCAAGAATCACCATCAGCTGCTTCCACTTCGTAATCCTCAACTTGGAGTTCCTCCGCATTAGGTAAGTATAACACAATTCAAATTGCAAACACTTCACTCCACCAGCTGCTGCAATTTTGTTGATTTCATCATCCTCGTCAATAGACACATACGTGGAAACTTTATCAGCAAATTTCTCAAAATATTCAAGTATTTCCAACTCCACAAATCCACGAAATCCATAGTGAGAATGATGATCACATAACATCCTCAACTCGTCATAAAGCGGATTGAAAATCATCTTTTCAAACATGCTACGAGGAGGGAATGCTGTTTCAACCAACTTGATTAATGCAGAAACAGAATCTAGACAGAGTTCTCTATCCTTATACAATACTACAAAGGGATATCCAAATGATGCTAAAATGGGATCCACAACCTTTATAAAAAGCTTAAAATAAACCATAGCCACTAGATCATCACCGAGTACTACTTCCATTGGCATTACGATTACCTGTTCCCTCAAGTATTGCACGGCAACAATCTTATCAACAAAAGGATTCAACAAGTGGATGCCGCTTTGGAGAGTTTTGACGTATTTTCCGTGCCTCGTGACGACAAAGGCGTGGTCTCGCTCAACTATGTTGATACCCCAGTTAGCCGGAGGAGGTATACTCTCGTAACAACGACCCCGAAGAATTCTTTTAGTTTCAAGGATACAATCGGCCGAGGAGGAGGTACGGAGACGGGCTAGGAAGACTTGGTTTTTGGGCACCGATGCTGAAGAGTTGAGGGTTACCGGTGCTGAAAAGTTCAGGGCTAGGGGAAGGGTTGGTTGTTGGCGGAGAGAAATCATGGCTGCTGTCAAGTTTTCTTAGGTTCAAGGTTAGGTCAGGGGAAGAAGGCAACTTATA